TCCAGGTAACAACAATATAACTACTGACAGTACTACCGTTGACAATATTACTGTTGACAATATTACTGCTGACAACAGTATTACTGCTGACGACAATATTACTGCTGACACAACAGTATTACAGCTGACGACAATATTACTGCTCACAACAGTATTACTGCTGACGACAATATTCGTGCTTCTTGAAGCTGTGTATGGTTTCTCAGTCTATGACAGCTTCATCCAGGTCATTCAGCTTTCTGACCTTCGGGAGCCTCAAGAAGTATTGCCTGACATAACTGAAGCTCGTCTGTTTCGCCCATTTGAGTGTACCATCCGTTTCTCCTTGTTTCCGTTTCCTGTCTACTGAACGGTCACTTCCTTTGTACCCTCTTTATCCATCTTGCTATCACCTATGTCATGAACATGGCGTCCCTTGCTTTTCCTCCTCTCTAGTGCGTTAGTGTACTCTGTTATGGGTCTGACACACACGTCATGTGCAAGTTTCTGGAAGAGATTTTAGTTACTCGACTGACGTGGGATTCCAGTGATATGCTAGGAGTTATGCTTACCCTCAGGTCCGTGTCTTGCCTGAAATTGGCAGGTTCGTCTCATCTCTGTTTTTATTTTGATTCCGGTTTTCTTTCCATACTCAGTTCTCACGACTTTGCAATTGTTGTTAAATTCAAAGACATAATAATTATATCATTATTATTATTATTATTATTAGTATTATTATCAGCAGTGGCAGCAGCAGTAGTGAGTAAAGCAGCAGCAGTAGTTAGTAGTAACAGCAGCAGTAGTAGTAGTAGTAGTAAGTAGTATGTAGTAGTAGTAGATATAGCAGCAGCAGTAGTAGTAGTAGCAGCAGCAGCAGTAGTAGTAGTAGTAGCAGTAGTAGTAGTAGCAGTAGTAGTAGCAGCAGTAGTAGTAGTAGCAGCAGTAGTAGTAGTAGCAGCAGTAGTAGCCAGCAGTAGTAGTAGCAGCAGCAGTAGTAGTAGCAGCAGTAGTAGTAGTAGCAGCAGTAGTAGTAGTAGTAGCAGTAGTAGCAACAGTAGTAGTAGTAGCAGTAGTAGCAGTAGTAGCAGCAGTAATAGCAGCAGCAGTAGTAGTAGCAGCAGCAGTAGTAGTCAGCAGCAGTAGTAGTAGCAGCAGTAGTAGTAGTAGCAGCAGTAGTAGTAGCAGCAGCAGTAGTAGTAGTAGTAGCAGCAGTAGTAGTATTAGCAGTAGTAGTAGTAGCAGCAGTAGTAGTAGCAGCAGTAGTAGTAGTAGCAGTAGCAGTAGTATTTGAAGCAATTCTTTAGGCAAGTCATCTCCCCATTTAACATATGTAGTTACCCTCCTGTACACCTACCCTCTTGTACGCCCACCATCTTGTACATCCACCCTCCTGTACACCCACCTTCCTGTACACCCACCTTCCTGTACACCCACCTTCCTGTACACCCACCCTCCTGTACACCCACCCTCCTGTACACCCACCCTCCTGTACACCCACCCTCCGCCCACCTCTACCTCCCGTAGCCCCACAAGTCTGCATTTACAAACGGTCAACAGTACTACTGATGGAAGGAGATCCAACACCATAATAACACTGCCTATGGGAGGGAAAAACGCGAAAAAAATACACAATACGTCAAAATATTGCTCTGCAAACTAGTCAAAAGACAAATGGAAAAAAATATACAATAGATCACTTGAAATAGGCGATTTTTTCCCCCTACTCTCCAGTAGATTTATTGGTCGAAGTTTCGAAGCAACGATTGAAAACTAATTTAAAAGCCCTTTCAGATTCCTCCCATATTCTCTCTTTTTTTCAGGGGGGGGGAGGGGAGTTCCTCCGTTCAAGTATCACACTGTGACTTGTGTCGTGGGTGACTTTTGGGTGACCTGTTTTGTCGGTGTGACTTGTTGCGGGTGACCTGTGTTGTGGATGTGGCTTGTGTTGTGGGTGACCTGTATTGTTGGTATGACTTGTGGATGACCTGTATCGTTGGTGTGACTTGTGGATGACCTGTATTGTTGGTGTGACTTGTGTTGTGGGTGACCTGTGTTGTGGATGTGACTTGTGTTATGGGTGACCTGTATTATGGGTGAGACTTGTGATGTGGGTGGTTTATGGGTGACCTGTGTTGTGGGTAGGATGGGAGGGAGGGATGAACTATGGACAGTGACAAACGAGCGTAGCAAATAGAACAGGAGAGCCATACTACAGTGTTACTCTTCCTCACACCAGAACACTGTACAGTGTTCACCACACTGTGCCCACTCTCCTACAACAAGCAGCACTAACCCATTTTTTCTTTATGAGAGAGAGAGAGAGAGAGAGAGAGAGGGGGAGAGAAGAGAGAGGAGACAGGAAGAACGAGAGGAGGAATAGAGAGGGGGGAGAGAGAGAGAGGAGGAATAGAGAGGGGGGGAGAGAGAGAGGGGAGGAATAGAGAGGGGGGAGAGAGAGAGAGAAAGAGGGAAGAGGAAAGAATTCTTGTTGCTGGTTGTGTGTCTGATCCCAGGAACTGAAGCTCCTCCACCTTTCCTTAGATCAAATTTGATTTTTTTTCCGAATCAAATTTGATTTCTTTGTGTAGTATACAAAATGTAGTTTACAGGTAATAACGTATCGTTAAGCCACCAGCATGCGTGTGCAGGAAGCCACCAGCATGCGTGTGCAGGAAGCCACCAGCATGCGTGTGCAGGAAGCCACCAGCATGCGTGTGCAGGAAGCCACCAGCATGCGTGTGCAGGAAGCCACCAGCATGCGTGTGCAGGAAGCCACCAGCATGCGTGTGCAGGAAGCCACCAGCATGCGTGTGCAGGAAGCCACCAGCATGCGTGTGCAGAAAGCCACCAGCATGCGTGTGCAGGAAGCCACCAGCATGCGTGTGCAGAAAGCCACCAGCATGCGTGTGCAGCAAGCCACCAGCATGCGTGTGCAGGAAGCCACCAGCATGCGTGTGCAGGAAGCCACCAGCATACGTGTGCAGAAAGCCACCAGCATACTTGTGCAGAAAGCCACCAGCATACTTGTGCAGAATGCCACCAGCATGCGTGTGCAGAAAGCCACCAGCATGCGTGTGTATTTCACGCAGCTGATTGAGTATTACCGAGAGGTTGTCAGCTTCATAGGTCATCCAGTGTGGGGAGAAGTTATTACGACTGAAGGTCACAGTAAACCAAGTACCAAGACTATTCTAATCCTTAAAACTGGGATTCGTGTAAACTCTTAGCATATATACGCGGGGAGATACACACTCTCGTGTACATACACTGAGAAATGTACATTACTCGGTGTATACACGCAGAGATGCACACACACTCAGGGTATATATGCTGAGAGAATCACACCTCTCGGTATATACACCCACTAAGAACTGAACACTGAACAGCGATATACGAGAGATATACACTTCTCTGTCTATATACACTGAGAAATGTACACCTCAGTGTTTGTACGCAGAGATGTGCATAAATTGAGTTGTACGTCTGTATATATCTGTGTATGTTCACAGATATATAAACCTCCCAGGGTATATCCGCTAAGAGAATCACCTCTCGGTATATACACAGTATACAGTGAAAGCTATACATCTCTCGGTGTATATATACACCGAATAAAACACACCTTCACTGTATATACACCGACACTCACCTCTGTATACATCGTACCTAATAAGCAAAGTCACTCAAACTAGCAAAACTTTATTAAAAAAGTATGTAGCGTACAGAGAGACTTTCCTGAATTAACATGGTAAGCAAAGTTTATATTTTGGGTCCCAAACTAACAACCTACAAAATTAATCTTAGTGCGCTAGCTCGGTCGAGGTCCGGAGTTCGAATCCCTGGTACGGCTGGGAAACATTAGGAAGCATTTCCTTAAGACACCTGCTTTCCATGTTCACGCATCAGTATAAAATGGGTACCTGGGTGTTAATCGACTGGTGTTGGTCGCATCCTGGGACAAAATTGACCTAATTTGCCCGAAATGCCCTGCATAACAAGCGGCTTTCTGTATGGTAGTATGTCATTGATGTCAGCTAGGACTGTATACCATGTACATGTACTTGTAGAAATAAAGGGCATTATTATTATTATTAGTAGTAGTATATTTATAGTATTATTATTATTTTTATTTTTATCATTATAGATTAACGCTGCCCAAAGTATGAGGTGTTAGCTTGTTGTTAGTTAACTTCAGTTGATGTTAAGACGGGTTTGGGCAGAGTTATCGTAATGTATCGTAATTAACATACACAGGTGTTGCACATTTGTCTTATTCATCAGCTATCAGTATTGTATACCTGTGATACACTGATTGTAAACCCGTGTTGATGATCTCGGTGTTTACCAAGCTATCAGTATTGTATACCTGTGATACACTGTAAACCCGTGTTGATCTCCTCACTCGTATATACACTGTTATACCCACGGGTCTTATGCTATAATGTTACTCTTATCATTCATGTTTACTAGACTATACTCCCTCCAGGTATACTTGAGGCCTGGTTATGGTCTGGGCCGCATGGGGCGTTGACCCCCTGAACTCTCTCTGGGTATACTCCCTGAGGCAGTGGCCGGTGCGAGTGGATTGTATGGAGAGAGCCTTCTGCTTTTCTACCCTCGACTCGTACAGATAGATAATATATGATAGTCCTTAATCTAGGTAGAATTAGCTAGTTCTTCTCAGCAGACAGCCTCGTTGTGGACTTTGTTACCAGAGGACTTACGAGTACTCTGGTATCTGCCTTGTACTCCATGTACTCTTCTTCACCTTCAGATTGGTGACAGAGACACATTTTGCAGAACTTGCCTTTATTGGGACTACGTTTCGAGTTATTATGACTTTTATCATGAGCGAAACGTTATTCTAAAAGATAGCTTGCCCTGCACATGCGTCTCTTCACTATTGTCGCTAAAGAGACGTTTTGCTAACCATCCAGAATGTTTTCCATTTGAGATTTTTTTTGTTACGTTATCTTAAACATTCACGTTAAGTTTACTAAAAATAAATGTTTGTTTTTCAGGTTATGACGTGGGCGTAGTGTTCCCTGGCTCGTTGAACCTCCCACCCCAGCACTGATGAACAACAACACTACGTATTTAACAGAAAAAGCAAATGTATCAAAAACAGGACAAAGTGACAGTAAAAGATAGAGAAAGAAAAAATCAGGTGAACAAATCGTAAGCAAAAACGTAAATTAGTCCCAGTTCAACCTGTCATGTGAGGAGTGAAAAAAGAAACTGTTTACCACTTAGCAATACGTGGATTTTGCAACTCGTTTGACTGGTGTGACTGCCCTCCCACGCACGCCTCTAAATACACCCTCCCACACACACCCTACAACATGCATGGGAGAGGAAGGATATGATCGATGCTGTCCCATCTGAATTCGCCATAGAAAATTATGCTCAGGTAAATATGCTTTCTATCACGACGTGACTTGTGTATTCAAAGTACATATGATTACCATGCTAGCTTACCTTTCTCTCCTCAAGGTATATACACCCAGAGATTTGTATTTCATATATATATATATATATATATATATATATATATATATAATATATATATATATATATATATATATATATATATATATATTGTGTGTGTGTGTGTATTTAATGACTCTCAGACAGTCCACAGACTTCAAACTTGAGAAACAGACTTTACTGGGTAACATTTGGCTCAGTTTACATTTTTATTGGTGCAATGTTTTCCTCTAATGGAGCGAAACGTTGTACCAACTAAATGCATTTCAGTCGCTGCTCGATCCGAGGACGTTATCCTCGTGTTGCATAACCCCAGTCCTCTGTACCTTAATATGAATAGTGCAGAGTGCGGCATAACTTTCTAATGTGGTTAAACATAAGTGTGGAAGAACTGAAGCGAATCGGAATATGCGTTCACACGTTATTACATCTAAATATATCCCAGTCTCTTAAAAAAATGGCACATTACGAAATACACAGAACAGAATCAATTCAAAGCTTACACTAAGAAGAGAAACTGAAGACTTTCTCTCGTTATCTCAGAGAGAAGAGACGAGTATCCTAAAGAACTGCACTAACACATTCAGAGTGAAGACACTCAGAATTGTATTTTCAGGTTACCAATCTGTACTGATGGGTTGAAAGATTTCAGGTGAAGCACTCAGAGATTATTACACGAATTTCAGTATTTCAGTTTTCGAGATTTCACCTATTAAAAAAAAGAAATTGAGACATAATAAATTAATCCAAACTGTTCTCTAGCACTTGTACTCATTGGAGCGCAGGCGAGAGAGATACATCATAATCTACACCTGGGAAAATCCTAGAGGAACTGATCCCTAATCTGCACACAGAAATCACTCCCTACGGAAGCAAAAGATTTGGCAGGCCATGCAACATACGCCCAATGAAAAGTAGGGGCGCCATTCAAATCAAATCAAATCAGATCAAGTTTATTCTCTATAAGGGTTACAATGTGGGGTTTACAGGATTTGGATATTGTGTGGTTTACATGTTATAAAATACTAATTACAGAGGGGGCCACTAGGACACCTAGCATGGCTAGGCATTTCGGGCAGACTTAGATTAATTCTCAACATTAAATCCTTACAGATTATGGTATTAAGGCTAAGTGACTACATCATAATTTGTGAGTTTAGCAATGTGAATGCTTTTGTTTTGGCACAATACAAAGTGTCTATATTGGAGTATCATAGGCAAACTTATGACTAGTTAGGATTCATTATTTTAAGATAAGATTAGTATTTCTGTGTTTATAGTCAGTGGGTGAGTGTAATTGTGAGCCACCAGGTGGTTATCATGTAGTTAGTTGTCGGGGTGTATCAGGGAGATTATTATTATTATAATCAAAAAGAAAGCGCTAAGCCACAAGGGCTATACAGCGTATCAGGGAGATAATATGTTTTCTAACTGTAGTTTTGAAGGTGATGAATGTGTCTGCAGTTCTAGAGTTTTCAGGTAGGATGTTCCAGATTTTAGGTCCTTTGAAATACATTGAATTTTTGTAAAGGTTTAGTCGGACACGGGGAATGTCATAGAGATGTTTGTGTCTGGTGTTATGCCTGTGGATCCTGTCACAACTATCAAGAAAGAGTTTTAGGTCAAGGTTAATATTGGAATTTAAGGTCCGTAGATATAGATTGCACAGTAGTAAGTGTGGATGTTCTGAAGAGTGGTACACTAAGAGAAAACACCATTAGTGTCCGGGGCCCAAGACTGTTCAACAACCACCAGCCATTAGGGGCATTACCAATAGACCCCTTGTCTTCAAGAGGGAGTTGGACAGATGCTTAAAGTCAGTGCCGGATCAGCCGGGCTGTGGTTCGTACGTTCGTCTACGTGCGGCCAGCATTAACAGGCTAGTCGATCAGGCCCTGATCCACTGGAAGGCCTGGTCGTGGACCGGGCCGCGGAGGCGTTGATCCCCGGAATGCTCTCCAGGTAGGTAAGCAAGAGTGACCAGCGTTTCAAGATTACGTAAAAATAAAGCAAGCAAGCTTTATAAATAAAGCAAACAAGCTTAAAATATAAAGCAAACAAGCTTTATAAATAATAAAGCAAACAAGCTTTATAAATAATAAAGCAAACAAACTTTATAAATAGTAAAGAAAGCAAGCTTTATCAAATTAAACCGAGTGCTTTAAGAAGCTTGCACAAGTAGAAAGTGAACCTAATTGCTGCTATCCTGGCCATAACAATCATCATATAGTGATAACTAAGCGCTAAACCCAGTAGGTTATAAGAGGATCCTGACCACAAGATGCATCAGCCATTAAATATTGAAGTCTTTAAGAAGAGGTTGACTCAAATATATCTTATTTTCCGGCACATAAGGCGCGCTTTGTTCACACAGAAAGTTTTGGAAAATCATCCTGCGCCTTATATGCTCAAGGTCAGGGTCATGGGTAGGTGTTTGGTTACGTTTGTTTACTAACGTTACAATTGCTCGTGCGCCTTATATGGCAGAAAATACGCTAATTGACGTTATCCAACGGGAATATATAATTGGCAGATCTGCATCTTACACACTTGAGTCTTACTCTCCACCGTCGATGAATTAGCAGGCCTGTTCCCTTTTAATGTTTGAGGCCACACACCTGAGGCTTATGGAAGTTATCGGAGACATTCCAGGATGCTGGGTCACAGGGCACCTGCACACTCCAATTGTGCCTAGAATCATTCTCTTATTATCTTATACTAGTGTTAAAAAGTTTTACGCCGATCGAATGAGCCATTCTCGTGCTATGAACGAAATAACGAGGTTGAAGGGGAAAAAATAAAGAATAAATCAGCCAGTCACTTACAGGTCCCTCTAGGATAAATAATTATAATAAATAAATACAACGAGTTAGGAATAGAGTGAAGCAAGAGTTGGAGCAAGTGTAGTCTGCAACTGAGTCCTCTGGGATTCCGTGCACCAGTCGAGGTCTGACTGAAGTCATTGTAGCGCCTCGCTGTACTGGGTCTGCTGGCTTGAATGCCTTCGCTGTTGTGGCTTGTTCCTCGTGCTCTTCGTGTTGCACTGTTGCGTGTACCGTTGTGTTGCACTGTTGAGTGTACTGTGTTGCACTGTTGCGTGTACCGTTGTGTTGCAATGTTGTATGTACCGTTTCGTTGCTCTGTTGTATGTACCGTTGTGTTGCTCTGTTGTATGTACCGTTTCGTTGCTCTGTTGTATGTACCGTTGTGTTGCTCTGTTGTATGTACCGTTGTATTGCTCTGTTGTGTGTACCATTGTGTTGCTCTGTCGTATGTACCATTGTGTTGCTCTGTTGTATGTACCGTTGTGTTGCTCTGTTGTATGTACCGTTGTGTTGCTCTGTTGTATGTGCCGTTGTATTGCTCTGTGTGTACCATTGTGTTGCTCTGCTGTATGTACCGTTGTATTGCTCTGTGTGTACCGTTGTGTTGCTCTGTTGTATGTACCATTGTGTTGCTCTGTTGTATATGCCGTTGTATTGCTCTGTGTACCGTTGTGTTGCTCTGTTGTATGTACCGTTGTATTGCTCTGTTGTGTGTACCATTGTGTTGCTCTGTCGTATGTACCATTGTGTATGTACCATTCATCACAACTGTCAGACACTGCAGCATCATGGGATCTTGTTACAAAGAATTCTTCAACACTTGTTCAACCTTTGGACAAGACCTACTTCGACTAGTGGATGGTACCACTATGACCCCGCCTCCATCTGCTTCACGTCACCTCACTACAGTATATAAGCCACGTCTACGGCCCTATGCTGTACATTCTACAAGATTGATGGACTGAACACATCGACTCCAGGTTGAGGGACTGATTACCTCATTCTCCTCCTCTCCTTACGCCTTCCTCTTTGTATTAGACTGATGAAGCCACTGTGTGGCGAAACGTTTCCTGAATAAAGATTTCCATATGCTGCATAAGTGTCTCAATCTTCAACTTGTCGGTTTTTCAAACCATTCATCACACACACATTGTGTTGCTCTGTTGTATGTACCGTTGTATTGCTCTGTTGTATGTACCGTTGTATTGCTCTGTTGTATGTACCGTTGTATTGCTCTGTTGTATGTACCGTTGTATTGCTCTGTTGTATGTACCGTTGTATTAAGGCAGGTCTAGAGTGCTCTATCAGCACACACATTCATAATATACTAATATAAATTCTTTTAGGACCACTAATGCCTACACAGGTATGGGCGTGAAGAGACAGTGTAGAAAATAAACTTTCGTTGGAACATCGTTTCGCCCTCAGTCGGGGAAACGTCGCACAAATAAAACGTTACCAGTAAAATGTGGTTTCCACATATTACTCGGCTCGTAGAAATATAAAAAACTCGGTAAAAATAGATTTGGTTTTATTAAAGGTCTGCAACGTTTCGCCACATCAGTTATAATATAGAAATAGAATCAATAAAATAAAAGTGTACACAAATAAATGGTTCAAGTCGGACCGAAACGTCGTCGTAAGTTCCTCTCTCCTATGTGCGTGTTATTTTTGTATTGTTCAAGTTACGGTATTGTGCCTTTTTGTTCCAATTCTCTAGATCAAGAGCCTCTCACCAGCATCAAAGAACCTCCCTTGATGGGTTCAGAATACATGTATCTTTGTTAGTAGAAGTGTATAACGTTTCGCCTGATCATATCTATTTGTTGACATGCTTTGTCGATATTCACATTATTATTATAATCAAGGGGGAAGCGCTAAACCCGGAGGATTATACAGCGCCTGGGGGGGGGGATGTGGAAGGCATTCAGGCTTAATTCGGGGAACTGGAGCACAGATCCAATTCCCTAAATCAAGAGCCCCTCACCAACTTCAAGGAACCTTCCCTGAGGGGTGTCGATATTCACAAATACTGCCTCTACTGCCTCTTTAATTACGTCAATATCTGTCAGTCCAGCTTATCTTTTTGGGATTTAAA